GTTCAAGAAAAATCAGTATAATAAAAAATACCAACTTTTTCAAAAAAAAAAAAAAAGGTAAAGTTACAAAGTGAGGAAAGATAGAAGTGTTTCGAGAGCAAGCTGGCTTCAGTGGTTTACTACAAGACCATGGCTTAAGTGCACAATTCACTGAAGCCCTGTTCTTACAACTCTCCAGAGTTGTTTGTTGTCTAAAGGATAGACAGCAATTCTGTGCAACTTCACATAGTAAAGTCACTCAATCATTTGATGCACTGAGCTATTCTGGGTTCCTTTTGACCCTCTTCACTAACTTTTGTGGATTTTCAGCCTCTGTCAGCCTCCAAAGAATGGAGTTCCTGTGCTTTACATTTAGTTATTTTCTGAAATTCTCCTAGGAAATGAATCATATCTTAACACTTTGTTATGCATGCAAACATAAATACATAGATATTAAGAGCAAGAGGGAGAGGGAGGGTGAGAGAGAGTGGGAGAGAGAGAGAGAGAGAGAGAGAGAGAGAGAGAGAGAGAGAGGATCAAATCTGTACACCTAGTTTGGGTCTCCTGAAAAATAACTCTTCATATACAATGGTGAAGATATGCTGGCTGAAAATCGTAATTCCTGTCTCTGGCAAACATGTTTTGAACTCTTCCTTACCTCTGAGATGGTGGTTTTATCCAACTGATAAAACATTTCAATATATAGCAGTTCAATATCTGCTATGTAAATAGAAATATTGTTTCAATATTTCTACACCATCTCATATACTTTTCCTTAACTCTTTTATTAAATGACCAGCATTAATGCCAATTAAGATGCTGTTACTTCCATTATTCTGCCACATTTTAATCTCCTAATTATCCTCCTGCTACCAAAACAACACTCCCATTAGCATTGATGAGATTGCTCATCAAATTAATCTTCACTTCCTTTCTCAAGTGCGTATATAAATTTTACACCAACCTGATTATACCAAATTTCCACTCATTCTCTGTTTCCATAGATACATGTGAGACATTCTACAATTGAGAAGTGAAATAAAACAGGAGAGAGTGGAGAGATTCATGGACAACCATCAATCCTCTCTCCAAAACTCAAAAATTCTATCTATAGTAGTAACTACATGTTGCCCTAAGGTCAGTATTTCATATAACTATAAGTAAGAATGAGAAGTTCAAACAAGAAATCCTGATGGTCTCATAAAAACCTACCATTTCAATGGTTATGTGTTTGTACTAAAGACTGCATTTATTTCCAATCAAGAAGAAATAAATTGGAATTGTTTTTAACCCCTTTTATCTGTAACATCTGAAAAAAAAAATGTCGCATACAATCTCCTGGTGAGCACCTTCTCCCTTCAGCACACTCCTTTTTCTTTGCTATTGCAACAACCCTGCTAAACACCCTCTGATCTCTCAAGAAGACTTATAATAGTCTCCATGAATTTCTCTCTGTCTTTCATCTTTCCCTGCTTGAACTAATCCTAAGTATTAATAATGCCATGAAAATGAAGTCCTCTTCTCCAAACCTCATGTTCTCAACACCATCTTTAGAAACAGCTTTTAAATACCACTGCCTGGAATTGGGGGTCCTCCACTAGTTTTTCCCACCTTTATGTCCTTCTGTTCTATAATCAACCAGATGAATATCTGCAAACACATTCCATAATGGCTGCCTCTGAATTTTTTAACTAAAATATTTTCCTTGGATGTAATGATTGGTAAATTCTCACTCAATCAAAAACTCACATCAAGCCCCCAAATGGAGTTTCTCTCTCTCTCTCTCTCTCTCTCTCTCTCTCTCTCTCTCTCTCTCTCTCTCTCTCTCCCCTCTCCTCTGCTCTTGTTATCAGAAGGTCAGAGATTCCTCTATGAGATATATAGAGCTTTTCTCAAAATGTTACTGAATATTAGAAAATCATATGAGATAGTATTTTAGTCCTTCAGTATTCAGTCATATTCAAAGAGTCTACAATGGCTCAAGTCTCTCAGTCGTGTTGAATGATTAGATAATGATATGACACCAGATATTCAATATTATGCATATTTAGGTGATGTAATTTTTCCATTCTACTAATACAACTATAGTTTATATTAGCAGTTTGTAATACATCTTCTCCAGCAATGAAACTAAGTGGAAAACCTTTTTTCAATTATTTGCATGTGCTGGAGATTACTTAAGAACAGAGTGAAGAATTTTTTTTTTCTCTTGAGAAACCACATAGCTCATATAGAGAAGAATAGTGAGTACTCAAATACATTTAAGCCTTTGCTTAGAGAGTCATAAAGTGAAGATTTAAACTATCGGTTCAGCTGGAAGACAAGGGGACAGATATCCAGAATCTAAGGTTGGCATTCTGCAATTTATGCTCACTGTATAAAACTATCTTCCAAATCTTTCACTACACTGGATTATACATGAAAGCAGACATTGGGCCATGGCTGGAAAGTTGAAAACATTGACGACTATAATTTTGAGTTAACATATGTCATGAATTAGCAATTGTTAGTATTTATTCAAGCAGAAAAGATTAAAAGCAGAGAAACATATAAGAGATGAGAGGTGTTTAACAGTGTTGATATAATGTCAAGAAAAGGAAATGTGGAACTGAAGAGAGAAGATATCCAACTTTCATTTTTCTAGATAAAAAAAAAATTAACCCTCTTGGGCTAGTAAGATGGCTCATCAGCTGAATGCATTTGCCATACAATCTCAATCACTTAAACTCAATCCCTAGAGCCCACCTAAAGGCAGAAGGAGAGAACTGACTCTACAAAGCTGTCCTCTGACCTGAACACAGGTTCCATGGCACACGACTCACAGCAGCAATAATAAATTTATATTTGTTCTAAAAAGTTGTCAGGTGTGGTGGCACATGCCTTTAATCCTAGCACTTGGGAGGCAGAGGCAGGCAGATCTCTGTGAGATCAATGGCAGCTTGGACTACATAGCAAGTTTCAGACTAACTGGAGGCTGCAGGGAGACCCTGTCTCACAAAAGAAAAGAAAAAGAATTACAGACAGTAAAACATTTTAAAATACTGAGAGGAATAAAAGTGTAGTCATAGGCCATAATTCTCTGCTCACAGAAAATATCTTTTAAAAATAAAGGTGAAATAAGACATTTTCAAATAAATAAAAACAGAGAAGATACAGTGTTAACAGATCTTTCTGAAAAAATATATGCATTTTGATTGTGCATATGTCTACATATAGAAAGAGACTTTTATATTTTGTGCTGTGCATGGATTTATTCTGACCTTGCATCAATCTGATTTACCTTCTACATCTCTGTCAAAAAGTCCCTAATTCAATCCTTCATACCCTTTCTCTGAAATGATTCAGTCAGTACAGTGAGATATGTTTGTGTATGCTACTTGTATTTAATTTACAAGGATGGGTGGTAAGCTAATATTTAAAATATGCTAATTAAAAATCCTCCCCATGAGGATCGTTAACAGCTGAAGCACCTCAATCAGGGGCAATCTCTAGAGGCAGCTATTAAACACTTTGATGTTACTATTTGTATTTGTACCTGATTATTAACTAATGCAAGGACTATGAGAAAAAAAAAGTTTTAGTGGTAAACTGAATGGTATTTTTAAAAATATTTTATTTATTATTTTTATTTTATGTGTATGAGTATTTAGCCTGCATGCATGTAAATGCACCACATGCACGTAATGTCTTCCAGAGGCCAGAAGACGATGTCAGATCCCCTAGAACTGGAGTTGCAGATGGCTATTAACCACCACGTGGGTGCTAGGAATCGAACCACGTGGGTCCTCTGGAAGAACAGCAAGTATTCTTAACTGCTGAACCATCTCTCCAGTCCCTGTATTTTTACCTCTTGTTACATGCTTTCTAGGCATAATTTGTAGTCACCTCTGCACTTTCATAAATGGGGCATAATCCTCAAGTGTCTTGGCTACACAATACAGTGCTCTATTTTCTCAGTACCCTATGCTAAGATGCAATTATATCTTTTCACCTAAATTAAAGAGAGCAATTCATGACATCATAATATTGCTTTTCACACTTCCCAATGAAATCGTGAGGGCACATGCTGCATAGTACATGAAAAGCAAAGGAGACCGGAGTGTGTAGTCTGCTTGCAGAAGAGGTTATGCAATGGATCTTTGACCTTGGTGAACATTATCTTGTTAGACAATATAATTTGTGTTTATTGTCATGTCATATTTCATGTTCCTTAATGGAGGATTGTTATGGGAAAAGATTGAAAGCTTTTCTCCACTTTGCTTTGTCTTCTATTACTTTGAAATTGTCCCCTCCACTGGGAACATGTAAATATAAAATAAAAAAGTTTGCATGTCCTTTTAAAATGCTTCATGTGACATTAAGTTTATGTAAATTACACCTATCTTTATGTATGTGCATCCATTTCTAAATCTCTCTATTTCTATACACATATATATTCTAGTTTTGTAGATTTGTTAGTAAAATACATAAATATAAATACAAAAGATTACACACTTTGATGTTAAAAATTGATTTTAAGCAGACAAATTAAATAAGTAAAATTCCTTTACAAATAAATACATAGAAAATTAGGTGATTCACAAACTGAGAGCTGACAAGGGTTTTATTTTTTAATTTTAATTTTTTTATTTTATGTGTGTGAGTTTATTGCTTTCATGTATGTATAAGTGCACCAATGTTGTGTAATGTCTGCGGAGGTTTTAAGAGGGCATTGGATCCCCTGGAATTGGAGTTTCTGATGGCTGTTAGCAGCTTGTGGGTGCTGGGAATTGAACCTGGGTCCTCTACAAGAGAAGTCAGTACTTTTAACCACTGAGCCATCTCTCCAGCCCCTGACAAGTCCCTGACAAGTGTTTTAAAGACACTAAGAGATCATTCCCCTGCAACAAATATGTTAAATCAATACATCTCAAATAGTCTTATCTTTATTGGGGGGGAAATGACACAACCTTTTTAATAAAACATACTTAAGTCATTATAAGCATAAATTTCACTGATAGCGAGGAATAAAACTTTCTTACCTCTAAATGGTACCCAACTTTGATGAAGGCACAAAGTGGATCAAAGGCCCCAGTAGCACAGGTCAGAAGATGTGTCCTGTTATAATGATGCAAAACCCGAACATAATTTGCACAGTCACTCTAGAGCAGAATCACAAAGGAGGAAAATGGTTAGCATGAAACAAATGTTTAAACTACTTCCCCTAACTCTAGAAATCTTACATTTTACTGCGAGTCTGAGTTGGGTGGAAAAGAAAATAATGGAATGAAATAGGATAAGCACCTGGCAAAGAAAACACTAGCTTGACTGAGGCATTTCAGTTATGAGTGAAGTATAAGATACATTTTGTGATGGAAGGAGAGCATTTTTACTATGTTCTACTGCAAATGAGGAATACAAAATCCTATTGCCCACAAAGGTATTTGCTCATAAAATTTTTCATGTAATATGTTCCTCTATGTAAGTAAAGTATTCCCACTGCTGGTATTTGTTAAGTACAATATAAACAATGACCTGCATAAAATTAGGAAATGAGTAACTTGAAAAATCATATTCAAAAGTAAACCTATAGAGCATTACAGTGTTTTTTAATAGTTTAAAGTTTTTTAATTGGCAAAGTAATTGTAACAAAGACTGCAGCACAATACTAAAATTCTATAAAAACTTTGGAGTAAACTTTACACAGAATGTATAACATTTATTTGAGGAAAACTATAGAACTGTGCCCCAGGATATGGAAGTCACCCTTGGCATTACAAAAACTTGATGATTGGCAAAATGGGCTTTTTTCCTTAAGATCGTGTATTTACATAAAATGAAATTTCAAAGTGACAGTTCTAACAACTAAACCACTAATCAGTTGAAATGACATTTTATTGCAAAATTACTTTGAGGTTCCTTTTGCTGCAAATACTATAATCGAAGGATCAATTACTTTATCTATAAAGGATGTCATTTTAAATATATTTAATTTGGTGCACCAACTGGTCTTTGTTATATCTTCTCACCTCTCAAGCAAGATGAGGAACACAGTCACAGACAGTAGATGCCTATATATGCTGAGTCTCAATAAACTGTGTGCAGGATAGTATGATACAGGTCATTTGGCTTCAGAACTCTAGTTGAGCAGCATTACTTTTAAATTCAAATTTATTGGAGAGTCTTTAACCTACACATTGTTACATTCACCTCTGATCAAACACAGACTCTAATAAATACTACTTACTTAATATTGTTTTTACCCCTATTTTTCTATAATTCTTATTTACTTGTATTAATGCATAGACCTCTGAAAATGGGAAAACTTACCAGAACTCCATAGGTGATATTTTAAAATTTAAATTTTTAATGTATTTATTTGAGTGAAATTATGGGTTTTCTTTCATTTTCAGAGTGTATACAATGTACTCCCATCATGTGCCCCCCTCTTTCAGCCTCTTTTGTTCACTTCCACCCTCCTGCCAATGACCCCTCCTTCTAAATAGTACCATTTCTGCTTTCATACCAAAGTACTTTAATCATACGTGATGTTTATTATTAATATGCTGAATGAAAAATGTTAAACTGATTCAAGTTCAACTTGGCTAGATTAATTGTAGCAAACATCTTTTGGCAAATTAGACATTGTTAATTCATAAAACAAATTACATAAATAATACTAACCTCTTTTAATACCAAAGATTATGTTGAAATCAATACTAGCAATAGTGAAAAATAAACAGAATGATTTCAAATGTGAAGCCTCTCATGTAACAGTATTAGGATGGAAAGGCTAGTAGATTTATTATGCCATTCCTGATTCACAGGCTACCAGAGCCCCTGAAAAGAATGAGGAATGCTTTACTGAGTAGATAGTCCAGGGCATAAAAATACATCTGCACAACTTCTCACATCTTAACCTTTTATTTCATGGCCAACCCACATATTTAATAGACTCTGACCATGCAGACATGAAGAAAGCTTTCTGTCTTCAAATCACTGGAAGCCCCTACTTTTTCTCCTTTGACATGCTGTCACATCTTAGAGCCAACATTGGCTCAGTTGAACTTACATTGAGATGGGTTGAGAGAATGTTTAATTACTAAGCATCACAGTACAGGATAATGCAGCAAGAATGTGTTGACTAATTCCTTGACTAGGGCCAGTTGCATCAGAGAATTAGGAGCTAGTATAATGTGTTAGTCATTTACATTCTTTTCGTTTAGAAGAAACAAAGATAAATTCACATTCAAAGAAAGACTTAGAGTGTTCCTCCAAGATATGTATTCCATCAGGTGAGGGCTGGGTCCTAGCACGTTTCCCTCTCATTTCTCCATGTGTCAGGAGGATGGTGTTGTGAAAGCACTTCCCACTCACACATGGACACTGGAGAGAAATGGGATGGACGCTGTTTCTTATACCATGAAATACTCAAGAAGCAAAGTGAAATCAACCACACATTTTTATTGCTGCAGCCCCTCGGACTTTGTACTCTTAATTTGTTTCTTCATTTGTAACTAATTAATAAAACTCAACTGAAATCACACAGTCTGCCTACTTCTCCCCCTTTAAATAAGAAAATCTACCATTGTTTTTTCTACCAAATACCATTAGGTAAGCATTGGGAATTTTTAAATCCAGTTGATTAAAATATAACAAAATAAAATGTAAGCCCCTGCTAGGTTATCAACCTGTTTCCTTTAAACACTTCATTGAAATTAATCTTATATAGTTATATATTTATTATATTTTTCTTCATGAACAAAATTACATATCTGTTTCTGATAAACAAGTAAAACTTCAAGGATTCAACCCTTTATGGGCAATCAGGAACAGAATTGATCATTTAATTTACAATGAGTAAGACTTACAGCATCTTTCCCTTTCATTATGCACTCTTCTATTTTTACTGCTGTACTGGGCCAGTGAATCTGAAATGGAAGATAATACATTATTATGGCAATTGCATATAAAAATAAATCATATGAAACCATTTGTTACTTCTACAATTCAATACATGTCCAGTTTGTTCAACTTTCTGAAAAGATAAAATTAGACCTTATCTTCTTCCAATAATTATTTACATAATTAAGAAACATCTATAAATTTTTACTTGGTGCTAATTTTTCCTATCTTTTATCTTTCTGAAAGTTCATGTCACCTCTCAGCCCTGCAGAGGACAGTTAAGGAAGAAGCTTGTCACTCTTACACCCACTCGTTCCATATTTGACCTACTGTAACCTGTCTTCCAAGCTTGCCCCAAAACGAAACTATTTGTTGCTTCAAGGCAAGCACTTCCTTGAGATCCTTCTGCATTTTTACCACCAAACACAGAAAACAGTGTGTTCAGGATGTTCAGTAATGTTTGCTGAAGGTAAGAATGAGAGGATGAAAAGACGTAAAAAGGCATCATTCATAGTTTTGGAGAGTACTATGCAAGCTGCTAAGGGAGAACATCAATCAATGGTCCAACCCCAGCTTTAAGACCTAAAAACTACAATGACCAGCAGTGCAAACTCTATTGGGGCAGTAGTGGCACTTTTATCTTGGGATAATCAAGAGCTACGTATTGGATTTAAGCCCACTTAATGGGAGGAAACTCATATGTGGTATGTAAACATAGTCAAATACACGTGGCTGGAGAGGTCACACAGCTTAGAGAAAACTCAAACACTGTCACATCCCTAGACAAATGTAATTTCTTACTGTGTGCTAAGTTTGGATCCTCATGTTTACAGAGAAGCATCTCAGTCACCACTCATCAGAGAAGCTTCTTTTGCAACAGAGATTATTATAGAGATCCACAACTGGTGATACAAAGAGATTGTACATTGCCCAACCTTAAGTAGTACATCTGCAATGGGGAGTCCACACCTAAGGCTCACCGAACATAGGGAACAGGGGGTAGAGAGAGTACTAATGCATCTCTCAACTCTCATCAATGAAATTCCTTCATGCAACAGAGAGCCATGAACACAAAAGGGCACAAATGAACAAAGTGTGGAGAAGAACGCAGAATGGGGTCCTTGTATATGATTGCTGTATTAAAGCTCCACCCGCTCAGGGCTTGGGGCCCTTAGCATAGAAGGGACAGAAAGTTTGTAAGAGCCAGGGGAGGAGGTGCATCACATACAGCATGCACAAGACCCATGCAGATACAAGCAGACAAAAAAACCAAGCATAGAACTCTGGAAATCGGTAGCAGACCCCAATCTTAGCTGGAGAACTATTGGCAGCTGATTATTGTTGGGTAAGGAAGACCTGATCTTCTTAATGAGAGCCACTCTAGATAGGCTGACTAGACCACAGTGGAAGAACTTGTGCTGAGGGATGTCTGGGGACACTAACTTGCCTCCATAGGCCTTACCATAAATGACAGAATGCATGAAATCCATGGAGGAGGGGGCTATGGAGGGCTGCCAGTGTAGAAGGGGGTATAAAGGTGCTTAAAAAGTTCTTATGAAATATAAAAAAATTAAGTGAAGAATTTACAAAATAAAGGAAGGACTGAAAAAAAACAAAACCAAAAAAGACAATCTCAGTAACAAGTCACAGCCATTAAGATAGCTTGATTGACTATAAGAGACCTTGTCTCAGAACTTCCTTACAAAACAACAAGACAATTTAATGCTTCCAGTTTTCAACTGAATTTAAAGTAGTTGTCGTTATATTTTGTTTCAAGTGTTTGGCTTCTTTTTTCCTTCCTTTCTTCTTCCTTCTTCTTCTTCTTCTTCTTCTTCTTCTTCTTCTTCTTCTTCTTCTTCTTCTTCTCTCTCTCCCAAATGTTTTATTCGCTAGTAAAACTCATTTGCATCCCTTGTGGGATTTGTACATCCCAGTACACGATAAAGATGCAGAAGGGAATTAGGTCACTAGGCATGCTCTTTTTTCTTTTAATAACCACATCCAACCTCCTCCTTCTTAATCCCATCTCTCTCTCTCTCTCTCTCTCTCTCTCTCTCTCTTTGGTGTTTTGAGACAGTGTCTCACTATGTAGCCCCAGCTGTCCTGGAACTCTCTATGTAGACCATGCCAGGCTGGCCTCTATCTCACAGTGATCTGGTTGCCTCTGCCTCCAAGTGCTGAGATTACAGTCATGCACCACCGCACCCAGCACCTTCTTTTTTAAAGAAAAGGGACATATCAATATTTTTCTGTTTTCAACAGTACCTAGCACTTTGTGAGATCAAAGGTAAAATAAGAGTGCCGATTCCACAAATTTCTGATCATGAATAGATATATTTTAAAGTCATTTTTTTATCAGTATCTTTTCCCTGTTTATGCTTAAAGTATAAATCAGTTACTCTGAGTCACATGATCACATTGATAACTTTATTTTATATTTCCTTTTGTTTTATAAACTTGTATGCAGAAGCTTTGGTCTGTAAACAATGCAAACCATGGCTCATTATCATCATTAGGATGGAAAGTCATCTCTTTTGAATTATTTAATTATTCATTATTTGTATTTCTTCCCTTTTTATTCTGGTCATCCTACTTACATCACTCTAGGAGGCAGTAATTGAGCTTGTTACTGAGCACTTTTTGTTGCTTGTTTGGATATATTCTTTTTTCATATTTTATTTATTATTATTTTATGTGTATGAATTGCCTGCATATATGTAAATGTACCGCATGCATGTAATACCAGCAGAGGCCGGAAGAAGGCATCAGATCCTCTGGAACTGAGGTTAACAGTTGTTATCCCCCATGTAGGTGCTGGGAACTGCACCTGGGTCCTCTGCAAGAGCAGTAAGTGCTGTTAACCACTGAGCAATCACTCCAGCCCCTTGTTTAGATATATCCTTATAAAGTGTTTATTGTTGCTTTTGTGCACATATTTCTGATTTAGGTAATCATATAGCTCATCTTCTTATCTTTTTCTCTAGTTCTCTGCAGTCAAGCCAGACTCATTCTACCTAAAGCAAGTTGGATTTCTGTCTCTCATATCTCCTTTACCTATCACTGTCCCATTTTGTGTTCTATTAATCTGCAAACCCATTTTGATTTTGAAACTAAATTTTAGATGTTGCTTCTTGGAGTTATTTTTAATGAGCAAAGATGAGTCAAACTGGAAATTAAAAGAAAATAGTGACGAGGCTGGAGAGATGATTCAGTAGTTATGAGCACTGGTTGCTCTTACAGAGGACCTGGGTTCAATTCCCAGCACCCACATTGTGGCTAACCACTGTCTGTAACTTCAGTTCCAAGGGATCTGACACCCTCTTCTGATATCCGTGGGCATTGCACAGCATGCATGCTTTTAAAAACATGCAGGCAGTACACTCAAACACAAAAATAAAAATATTTAAAAAACAATAATATTGTGCCGGATGTGGTGGTATACACCTTTAAAATCCCAGCACTTGGGAGGCAGACGCACAGTGAGTTCAAGACCAGCCTGGCCTACATAGTGAGTTCCAGGCCAACTGGGGCTACAGGGAGACCCTATCGCAAAAAGAAGAAAAGACCAAAAAATAAAAAATTAAAAAGTGACAGTGGTATCTTATTGCAATATATGATTAGACTTCTTATCATGTGAATAAGCAATCTTTAGCTTGAATTTTCATTGGTACTTTGATCTTCGAAGAGCTTCTTGCTAACAATATGCAGCATCAAATTGTGATTTACCTATCATAGCCCAGCATATAAACTTTAAATGAAAGTAAGTGGGTTTTCTCATTGATACACAAGAAGAAAAGACAAAAGTATAGGAATAGAAAAGAAAACTGCTTAAAATAGAAGAAAAGCTACAGCATTCACATAAAATCTTAAAATCAGTGCATCCATCAGTGGATCGTATATGTTGAATCATTATCTCACATAAACATGTCAGTGGCAGACATTTTGCAGACTTACTTGGCCCCATTATGAGGTATGGATCCTGGAAGTAAAACTGCATTGTTTATAATCTTTATCTGATCTATTATTTAGTTTTAAAAAAATCATTGGGCTAAGGGATAGATTTTTTCTGATGATTTATAGAAGTTATTCTACCAAGATGATTGGAGAATTTACTATGAAAGTGTATTCAAAATGATATGTTAAAAACATATGTACATACACATATAGACTTCATACAA